TCCCTCCCCGCGGAGCCCCCCGCTGCCTCGGCCCCGGCGGCACAAGCCCTTCCCGGCGCCGCCGCGGACGGCGCCTTCGCTCCTGCGGCTCCGGGCGCCTTTGCCCCGGGCGCAGGGGCTGCCCTGGTCCCAGCTCCAGCAGATCCCGGCTCTCCTGGCGCCGTGGGGCTGGAGTTTGTCCCCATGGCAGCACCAGCAGATCCCCAGGCCCAGCACACGGCGGCTTTGCAGTTTGCCCCAGCAGAAGGTGCCGGCTTTGCCCCGGCAGCACATGCTGTGTCCCCGCACGCCGTGGATCTGGCGTTTGCTCCCACAGCGGATCCTGCAGCTCAGCACGCCGTGGATTTGGAGTTTGTCCCCGCAGCGGATCCTGCAGCTCACCACACTCCAGATTTGGAATTTGCCCCCGCAGCGGATCCTGCAGCTCACCACGCCATGGATTTGGAATTTGCCCCGGGAGCAGATACTGCAGCTCACCACGCCGTGGATTTGGACTTTGTCCCCACAGCGGATCCTGCAGGTCACCACGCTGTAGATCTGGAATTTGCCCCAGCAGCAGATACTGCAGCTCACCACGCTCTGGGTTTGGCCACAGCGGATCCTGCAGGTCACTACGCCGTGGATTTGGAGTTTTCCCCCACAGCGGATCCTGCAGGTGACCACGCTGTGGATTTGGAATTTTCCCCCACAGCAGATCCTGCAGGTCACCACGCCGTGGATTTGGAGTTTTCCCCCACAGTGGATCCTGCAGGTGACCACGCCGTGGATTTGGAGTTTTCCCCCACAGTGGATCCTGCAGGTGACCACGCCGTGGATTTGGAGTTTTCCCCCACAGTGGATCCTGCAGGTGACCACGCCGTGGATTTGGAGTTTGCCCCCGCCGCGGAAGCCAACCATTTCCATTTTTGCGCCGCTCGCGCTTGGGGCGCCGCAGCCCGCGCTGCGCGCAGCCCCTTGCAGCAGGGCTCTTTGTAAGGCAGCAGTGGGGACCTGCCCTGCACTAACCTTATTGTGTGCTTTAAGGACGTTTTAGTCCATCCCTGGTAGCGTTTCTTCTTGTATCGTTATTTTCCCCCAATATACCGAATATACGCAATGTATTTCTGCAATATACACAATATTCTGATCTGAGAACAGTCTCTGAGCAGCCTGAGAGGCTTGGGTCACCACGTGGCATCTCAGAATGACTGTGAGAGCCCATGGGGGAGGCTTGGTTCTCCCTTGTGGTGGACAAGGGACTTTTGCCCTGCATAGATGTCTTGAGAGGGACTCTCCTACTTGAGAGGAACGGTCAAAATAGAACAGCTAGTCCTGGGGAGACCCAGAACGTTGCACAAAGATGAGTAGTAAGATTTTTTTTTTCTATATTACCTTCTAATACTGTTTCCTTTTATGGTGGGAATAAACTTCAAAGGAGAGGAGCTTTAATGAAAAAAGACGAAATTGCTACCAGGACGTAGTAGCTCAAAGACACAGGTGGAGAAGGAGAGTCAATACCGGGCAGAGCGGGGCTGTGTGGAGCAGAGCAGCAAGGCCTGCAGGAGGGGAGGGCTGGCACAAAGCGAGGCTCAACAGCAGCTTATCCCGCCTAGGAAAGTGAGACACCTTTAATTTGCTGTGGGAGAGGTGGGCTAGGTAAAGAAGGGGTTTTATCTGCCTTAATCTGATCTAAATTAAAAGTTACGTGAACGTCTTTTCGTCTTCAGAAGCACCCGCAAGCGCGGAGCAAGAGCTGGAGGTGCCAGAAGCTTGTGCTGAGCTTCCCTCAGAGAATGGCAGAGACGCCGGGTCGTCTCCCCGCCGCCGGGCAGAGCATCTCCCAGAAAACTTGGACCATCTCCGGGAAGCAGCAGGTGAGGAGCCCGCTGGGACCGGCGCTTCGGCAGCGCTTCGTTAGGAACAAGCCCAAAGCAGTCTGTGCTTGCTGCAGGCTTGCTCCCAAAGCGCTGCTTTCCTGTGTTTATGAGACCCAAAATACTCTATTTATCCTTTATTCTGCTGTTTATTTATTTGTTCTTTCTTCTATTTATTCTTTTCCATATTTCTGTTCAGCTCCAGTAGAAGCAAAAGAAGCCACAGCACTAGAAAATAAAGAGCTCCTTCCCGAAAAACCTGTTACTGCTGCGGATCTTCCTGTTCCAGAGAAACCGGCGGAGGAGGCTGAGCACAACCACATCCAACACGCAGAACCCCAGCAAGAAGAGCCCCTGCAGGAGAGCACAGGTAGAATGTAGATAATAATGGAGCTGTAGAATGGAAATAGCCCCCGGGAACAGTTCACCTTGTCCTCCTGACTGCGTTGCCTCCTGAGCAAGCAAAAATCTCTTTTGCACCAAGTCGCTGTGCTGTACTTTGCATCCATCACAGTGATTCTGCTTGCACTTTGCCTCTGATTCCTGCCCTTTTAAACGTGCTTCCCTCCCCCCTTTCACAGGACTAAAAGTCCAAATATAGGCACTACTATGGGCTTATCTTTTCGACTGTAACATTTACAACCTCAATATCTTTCCACTGAAGAGCTTAAAACCTCAACATCTTTTTTTTTGACATTTACTGTATAGTTTTTTTTTTTTGAGGGAGGGGGGTATTAAAAAGGACCATCAGTTCTGTTTAAAATATTCCCAGTGAAGCCCTCCTTCCAAAGCAAGCCCCTTAATTACCAAAGGAAAACGTAATTTGCTTCCTGCTCCACTACCCCAGCCTCTCCGACGAGCTCTTATTGCTCGGGTGTCCGGCGGGAGGCTGATTTGTGGGCCACAAATGACTGATGCTCTCATTAAAACCAGTGGCCTGCAGCTACTGCCCGTAACCGAGCGCAGCAGATGCCTTCAGCTCGGGGGGTTCTGCTTTGGGGGTGCCGAGGGACACTTTGCTGTCGCCCCTCGGCCCCGTTACATCCGTCCTCTCTACCCTAGTCTCATCTTTTCACTAAACTTCTGTTTTCTCAGTTTGGAAAGCAGCCAAAGAAAAGGGATTATTAAAAAAAAAAAAAAGTGCATCTGTTATCCTGTCTTGCTAAGGCAAAATGGATCCTTAATGCTTTATAAAAACAGATAATGTGTCCTTACAAGAACAGTTGCTTTCTGGTAGGGTTAGAGCATGTATCAGAAATGAGCTTTAATACTGCTGACTTATTTATCGGCAGTATTTAAATAGGTTCCTGTGTGTAATTTCCCATCCCAGCACCGCTGAGGAGGATTTAGAGCTAGGGTAGCATCAGCGCTGACAATTCCGATTTATTTATGATGTTACGGCCTGATGTAGATAGCTAAAATCATAGAATCATAGAATCATAGAATCACAGAATGCTTAGGGTTGGAAGGGACCTCTCGAGGTCACCCAGTCCAACCCCTGCACACGCAGGGTCACCTAGAGCACGTGGCACAGGACTGCGTCCAAGCGGGTTTGAAGATCTCCAGAGAAGGAGACTCCACAACCTCTCTGGGCAGCCTGTTCCAGTGCTCTGGCACCCTCACTGGGAAGAAATTTTTCCTTAAGTTCCTGTGGAACTTTTGGTGTTTCAGTTTCCAGCCGTTTCCTCTAGTTCTGTCAGTGGCCACCAGTGAAAAGAGGCCGCCCCATCCTCCTCACTGCCTCCCTTGAGGTACTTCTAGACACTGCTCAGGTCCCTCTCAGCCTTCTCTTCTCCACCTGAACAGGCCCAGCTCCCTCAGCCTCTCCTCATAGGGCAGATGTTCCAGGCCCCTGATCATCCTTGTAGCCCTGCGCTGGCCTCTCTCCAGCAGCTCCACATCCCTCTTGTCCTGTGGAGCCCAGAACTGGACACAATACTCCAGAACCGGGCACAATACTCCAGAACTGGGCACAATACTCCAGATCACCTGTTTCTCTTTCAGTGTTTTTTTGCTGCGAGGCGGGTGGTTGCGCTGATGTTTGAGCAGGCTTCCTGTGTTCCAGGTGCACGTCCCGCGCCGCTCGGGCACGCTCCCAAAGCGAGCGAGCGCCGGTTCGGCGGCGCGAAGCCCGCGGGGGGGCCGGCCGTGCCCGCGGAGCGGCGCGTGGGCTCCCCTCGGCCGAAGAGTCCCGGCCCCGCGCTAGACCCCGCTGCCGTGGCGGCGCTCGGAGGCGTTGCTGGAGCGGCCCCTAGGGTTTCCCATAAAAAGGAGCAGCCGTCCCGCGCGCTGCCGGAGCATGCCGAGAGCCACGGAGATGTGCCGAGGGAGAGCTGGGATGTGGAAGGTTCTTCGGTCGTGGTGAAGAAGAAGAAGAAGAAGCCCAAACAAAAGAGGAATCAGCAGCCGAGAACCGCAGAGTTCTGGGAGGAGAATATCTCCCAGGCTCCTAAAACTTGTCCATTTGCTTTTGGACTGCAGAAGACAGATATCGCTCCCATCCTGCCTGCTGAAGCTCGCAAAGAGCACTTGATTGCCCCAGGAAATGGAGCTTTGGATACGGCAAAGGGTGCCAAAATAACAGCTGGAAGTCTGATCTTGGGTGATGAAAATGCCTTCCCAGCGGCCAGGGAGCAGGCCCCAAAGCCCGACCTGCTGGATGCAAAAAGCGGAGGCTTTGGAAAAGCAGAGACGAGAGGTGACAGTTGGGTGTCACAATCCAATGGCAAAATAAAGCAGGTTCCCTTGGAGCCGATGGACAAGGCAGAGAAGATGAGGGTGGGGGATCCTGTTACTGCAAAGGTGCCCACCCTGCCTGTGGAAATCAGCCCTCCTGCCACAAACGGGAAGAGGGCGGACGAGGGGACAGGCTGCTCCGTCCCAACGGCGGCTCCTTCGGCAGGGAACAGTCTGAGCAAGGTAGAAACCCCTCTAACGACCCAACCTCCCGAAACTGCCCTTTCTGGTAAAGGAAAGGAGGCCAAGAGCCCTGCTGCCAAGCACGAACGGGGCAGTGAGACTGTCCCCGCGGAGCTGCCGACTTCCAGCGCGTCGCTGGAGAAAGAAGCAAAGAAAAGGGGTAGTGAGAAGAGCAAAGAGGCTGCACATGAGTCCTTCAAACAGCCCCATCCTCTAGAGCCGGGGGCCTGGTTTCCCCCCGAGGCCAAAGCAGCTGAAAAGCCTAAAACGGGGTCCCCCGAGAAGCGCCCCGAGGTCAACGTCAGCGCCCCGGGCGCCCTCGCTCCTGCCCCATTGGTGGCATCACCGCCCGAGGATTCCGTTCCCTCGGGAAGCAGGAAGGCGGGCGGGTCCTCGGAGCAGCTCCCGGCAGCTCCGTGCGCCGCGCCGGGATGTTCCCCCGGCCGGAGCAACGAGCCTGGGCTTACTGCACCGGAGCATCAGGCCCCAAAAGAGCCCGGCTTTGCGCAGAGGACGGACAAACCCAAGAAGAGGCGCGGTGAGGGGAAAGGCAGAAAAACGAGGAATTTCCCGGAGCAGGTTCCCTTCCCGGAGGACGTGAGCAATGGTGAATGGAAGATGGACGAGCCGATAGCAGAAATGACTTTTCCTGACAAAGGCAAGGAGAACGGCTTTGCTGCGCGAGGGCATCCGTCCGCAGCCTTCGCACACGGTTACACCGCGAAAGCGGATAAGGCGAAGAAGAGAGGCAGTGATGGAAGAAGCAAAAAGGGCGAAAAAAGCTTTTTCCAGCAGCCTTTCCTTTTGGAGGGCAAGAGGGACGTAGGTAGCGCTCCCGACACAGCGGACAGGCCCAAAGAACCGAGTGCCGGCACCGGAGGCGGCGAGCGGGGCTGTCCTGCTGGGCATCTTCCGGAGAGCGTTTCGGAGGCGGCTCCGGCGCCTCGAAAGGAGGCAGATGCCGCGGATAGAGGCAGGGAGGCTGGATTCACCCCCCTGGGGGAACCGGCTGTGGCGGATTTGGGCGCCTCGTTGGCAGACAAGCCTAGGAAGAGGAGTAGCGATGGGAAGAGAAAGAGCGAGAAGGCTCCTGCAGCTGTGCCGGAGAGTCGGGCGGAGGAGAGTCCTCTTGGGAGCAAGGAGGAGCTGGATGGAAAGGCAAAGGAAGGGAGCTTTGCCGGCGGGAAAAGGGCCGAGGGTGAAGGAGAGCCCGCGCCGGAGCGCCGGGCAGGCGCAACCACGGAGCTGGTGGGAAAGGCTGGAGTTCAGGGGGGCGAGAGAGGAAGCTGCTGTGATGAGCTGGGCCGCTCGGGTCGGGAAACAGAGACAGCAAAGGCCGAAACGGTCCAAACTGGAGAAACTTGGCCCACGAATGAGGGAAAGGAGGTGGTGGTTAGTCCGTCAGAGCCAGGCCCGGAGAGCAGGCCTAAGAAAAAGGGCAGAGATGTGAAAGGCAGAAAGGCTGAAAAAGAGCACCCTGCTGCACCGGCTCCGGCCAAAATCCCTGCCGGAGCCGCAGAGCTGGGAGCCCTTGTGGGCGCTCAGGCTCCTGGGAGCGGCCAGGAGAGCGAACTCCCCGCGGCAGGGAGCGGGCAGGCTCCTCCTGCGCCGCTGGAGCCAGGGAAAGCGGGC